ATTACTTTAATTGGAGGAAGTTACCAAAATAAGTTGGTAACATATCATCCCTAAAAAACAAAATTTCCTTTATAGGCACACAATTAATTACAAACCATATTGCCTGCCAAAAATTATATAAGGACAACCGTCATTTCCAATAAATAAAATGATAATTATCTAGAAAATAAAACCTATCAGATTTGAGTCCCTTGACTCACCAAATTTATGCATTCCATATGTCCATATACTATCAATCACAGTCACTCAAAAGTGGATGGGCAAGAAGAATATATAATTCTCAAATAGACTATCCCAAATACTTGCAATTCCCCTCTTTCTCTCCTTCTCTCTCTCTCCCTCTCTGAGTTTCATCCTTTCTTCGCTTGTTCAACATATGGAGGGGAGGGATTTGACCTAGATCTCTCCCTCCCCTCCCTTTTTGGTTTCTTTTTCATCTATTTTCTCTTGTTTCTTGCTTTTCTCTCTCAATCTTAGATCTTGGAGCTTTTCTCTCCCAATCTAGTACTAGATTTGGGAGTTTTAAAGAATAAAGTTCTTTACCTCCAGTTTCAATGACGTTCATAGCAGTTTCAATGTTAAATCTATGCACATTCAACATGTTTGTTAGAAGTTTTGGCATCTCTCACTTGCTAATAGGCTCGCTCTCACATGTATCATATCTGAGCTTGTTCAATATGTTTTCATTGTCTCCGTATAGTGATGGTCTTGGGGATGCCGAACCTAGGCGCAAACTCCCAAAAGGCAAAGACATAGTTACAGATGAAAATTTCTATGTGTGCTCATCATTGATGATAATATATAATCCGGTGATCAACCGCCAATCCATTTATTAGGATGTAGTGATAGATTTATTCATGCAGTGGTAGATTTGTTCTTTCAAGATTATAAACTGCATGAGCTTACTTATTATATTATAAAACCACCTTATTTCGAAGACATTGAAATTCCTTAGGAATCAGTCCCCGAAGGATCGTCGGAATTGTTGCTATGAGATTCAGTTGTTTGGTCTCCATTTGCTTGGATCAACATCTTGCTTAATTCTTCATACCTTCTCTTATGAAGTTTTAGCTCCTCCAAGGATAGTTGGTCGACCGGTGCCTCCCACCAGCCCTTGATCGGACATTTCTCTAACTCTCGCCGGAGTTCAACGCCACGCTTTCTTGTGGCTCTCAGTTTCATTGACAATTCCGAGTTCTGTTTGGATAGTTCACGCAGCTTCGCCCTCTGTTCGCCTTCGGATTGCCTAACAGCATGAGAAGCACATGCGCGTGGATCTTCGACCCGGTTGGGACTCGTTTGACAGAAAGGACGGCCAAGAGACAAGGCCTCATTGCCCAGGCCGAAGAGTATAATCATGGACTCCAGCGCACATTCTGAATAGATGTCGGCAGTGCTCCTAGGATCTTGTTTGCGAGGACGGCCAAGAGACAAGGCCGTGTAGCCCAGGTTGAAGAGTACCATCATCGACTCCAGCGTACATTCTGAATAGTCGGCAGCAGCCCTCCAAGGATAACGAGAGCGACTTTTCAAAGCAGCATTCTTTTGAGTCTTATTGTTCATTGTCGTAATATATTTGAGATCCTCTTGTATTACTCTCGCACTCGCACATGATTGAGTGGGGATTGGCTGCGATTTATAGGCCCGTGACACCAATGAAACCTAACAACGTCTTGTTTTGTGATTGGTGAATTATGTTTTCCATGTATAGCATATTCAAGATAAGAACACCTAAGAATGTTTTATTTCCCTTTTCAGAGATAAGCATTCAAACTTTTCTCTTGCTTGGTTATGTTTCTTTGCAATTACGACTTTGAACGAGTATTGGTCAGAGAACAAATTAGATTTTGGTCCTTAAATTTGTCCATACTTATTTCAGTAATCAAATTGACTTTTTTTCACTCGATCCTTGAACTTATCTATTCTTTAATAGGTCCCCCAAATGGTTCAATTTTCAACCATTTTGCTTTGTATTCACTTGAGGTTTAATTGGAAGAGCATATTCATTGCGACGATATTACATTTTATTCCACTCGAGAAAGTGTATTTCCTTTTGGCAGAGATACTTTAGTGTTGACCTGAGCAATGGCGAGTTGGAATTATATCGAGCTAAACGTCGTTGTCCAAATGAGTCCTTGATTTTCTTTTTTTAAAATATTGGAGTTTACTCATGCAGGATTGAGCATGTCCGAAGACGCTACGCAAGCGGCCCAAGCTTAGGAAGGAAATATTGGCTAGGCCAACCCAGTTTGTGTTTGGTTGGCTCAAGTGAGCTCCCGTAAATCGTGAAATTCATGATCATGTCTACTTTAGTGTCTTCTCCATAAGTATTTGGAATCCTTTGTCATAAGGAAGTGCGTTAAGCCATATTAGAATATAATGGACATTATGGGCATGAGTAACTGTTTGAACAGTAATTTACAATTTTGGGCATGAAGCTTTATTTGTTGAGATTCAATTATAATGTCCTCGGTGAAGCATAGGCATTTCTTAGTCATCATGCACATTCATTTACTTTATAATATGAGATAGTTGCCAAAGGTAACTTGCCATCCTGTGGAGGCACATAATAACAAGATGAATTAATCATGTTTCCAGCCAAAAGTTACATAAAACCAAAGTTATTTCCGGTAAATAAAATGAAAAGCATTTAGGCAACAAAACCTTCCACAATTTTCCTAATTTGAATGACCGAATTTATGCATCTCCGTAAGTCTGTATAGATTTATCAAATTAACTAAGATTAATACCACGAAAAACCCCAAACTACCTATGACAAATTTACTCAAAATTAATTCTTTGAGTACAAAAAATCAAAAACTGATACACCTATGACAAATTTACCAAAAATTAATTTTTTGACCACCAAAAACCCAAAACTGATACACCTGTGATAAATTCATTCAAAATTAATTTTTTGACCATCAAAAATCCCAAATTAACTTGGGTTAATACCATGAAAAATCTCAAATTTTTTTAGTACCCGATTAGATTCTTGTAACCTGGTCCATGAACTAATCAATAGTTCCCAACGATAAAATTTTTAACCAATTTTCTTAGTATGCACTCAAGAGGTGATAGAAGAACATATTTTCTGTGATAATATTACATTTTATTGCACTGACGGGAATAATATTCATATTTACTAAAGTCCGATAAACTATAATCTATACTGTCAATAAAAGATCATGTCACAAGTTATCTCTGTACTTTTATTCGAGATTCAAAATTGTCCCTCTATTTTTTTTTCAAACTAATCTAATATTATTTGGAAAAAAAACCCACTGTTCGTCCCCATGCCGACAACAGAAGTTCCAAATGTCGGACATTTTCCTCTTCCTTCGGCTGCTATGGAGGACGACCACCAAGCTTCCACCATCAACTGAAAAAACATAGCTTTGTCGATTGTGATCTCTCTCTCATCTTAAAAGAAAAAAATCTAAGCACTGCGATATATAGTTATCATCCATTTCAAATTAACTAAATACAGAAAACTATGACACGACAATTGTGCTTAACTTTTGCCAAGTAAGCGAGTCACATTAGTATAATCATATGACACGACAGGTTGTTCAATTGAGATCTCACATGGAGCCAATTTTGAAAAATTTTAGATACTCAGATTGAGCCATAAAAAAAGTTGTGGTACTCGATTATAAAACAAGCAAAAGTTCAAGTATTTGAGGTGTTCCTTGAGAGTTGTTCACACTGATCAAGTCTTTTTTTTTTCCTAGGCTTCTCTAATTTAGTATATGTTAAATAATTAGGCTCTAGCAGGCCCACGAGGGCTATACAGGCAGGCTCAGGCTTAAGAAGAAAATTGATTTACCATGTTAAATGTTTGAACAATATTTTGCATTCGTTTTTTCATCTTTACTTCTGTTTATCTTTTTCTTTATGTTTTGCTAAATTTGTATTTATCTTTTTCCTAACACTACAAGCACTCTTGTGCGTAAGGGTTAATTTCTTTCAAATCAATTAAATCCCTCGGCGAACCACGAATACTTCCTCAATCTTATTGTGGGGCATTGGACGTTTAATAGAATTGTCAACAATGCAGGAACATGCACATTCAAATTACTTTAATTGGAGGAAGTTACCATTGTAAGTTGGTAACTTACCATTCTTAAAAACAAAATTTCCATTAGAGGCGCACAATGAATTACAAGCTCAATTAACCATATTGCCTGCCAAAAGTTATATAAGGACCACAGTCATTTCCAGTAAAAAAAATCATAAGCATCTAGAAAAAAAAACATACCATATTTGGGCCCTTTGACTTACCAAATTTATCCATTTCCATGTATCCGCTATACCATCAATTAGGTTTCCTCAAAAGTGGATGTGCAAGAACAATATATAATCATCAAATAGACTATACTAATACTTGCAATCCCCCCTCTTTCTCTCCTTCTCTCTCTCTCTCTCCCTCTCGCTCTCTGAGTTTCAGCCTTTCTTTGCTTCTTCAATATATGGAGGGGAGGGATTTGATCTAGATCTCTCCCTCCCCTCCCTCTTTGGTTGCTTGTTCTTCTATTTTCTCTTGTTTCTTGCTTTTCTCTCTAGATCTTAGACATTAGAGCTTTTCTCTCCCGATCACGTTCACAGCAATTTAGGTGTCAAATCTAAACTCATTCAACATGTTTTGGTTAGAAGCTCCAACATTTCGCATTTTTTTAAGGGTTCGCTCTCATTGATGATGATGTGTGATTCGGTGATCGACTGCTGATCATTTTGTTTGGATGTCACAAATCTAAGAACGAGCGTGCACTTACCTTTGCTGATCATGCTATGAGATGTACCTTGATTTCTGAATTTTGGTTTGTTTTGCAACTTTATGGGCTACTTTTGTCATGGTGATTTCTAGAATTTCCTATGAATCCTTTTACAGATCATTTTGATAATGAATGGAAATTTCCTTTGACAAAAAGAAGAAGAAGAATATATAATCAGACAACACATTTTCTTACAAGATTATAAACTGCATGAGCTGACTTATTTCAAACCACCTCATTACATTTCAAAGACATTGAAATTCCCTTGGAAGCAGTCCTGGGCGGATCGTCGGAATTGTTGCTATGAGAATCAGCTGTTCGGTCTCCAATTGCTTGGATCAACATCTTGCTTAATTCTTCATACCTTCTCTTATGAAGTTTTAGCTCCTCCAAGGATAGTTGGTCGACCGGTGCCTCCCACCAGTCTTTGATCGGACATTTCTCTAACTCTCGCCGGAGTTCAACCCTGCACTTTCTTGTAGGTCTCGGTTTTGTCGACAATTCCGAGTTCTGTTTGGATAGTTCACGCAGCTTCGCCCTTTGTTTGCCTTCGGATTGCCTAACAGCATGAGAAGCAGATGCGCGTGGATCTTCGACCCGGTTGGGACTCACTTGACAGCAAGGACGGCCAAGAGACAAGGCCTCATTGCCCAGGCCGAAGAGTACAATCATGGACTCCAGCGCACATTCTGAATAGATGTCAGCAGCGCTCCTAGGATCTTGTTTGCGAGGACGGCCAAGAGACAAGGCCATGTAGCCCAGGTCGAAGAGTACCATCATCGACTACAACGTACATTCTGAATAGTCGGCAGCAGCTCTCCTAGGATCACGAGAGCGACTTTTCGAAGCAGCCTTCTTTTGAGTCTTATTCTTCATGGTCGTAATATATTTGAGATCCTTATGTACTACTCTCGCACTCGCACATGATTGAGTGGGGATTGGCTGCAATTTATAGGGCTGTGACGCCAATAAAACCGACCAATGTCTCATTTTGTGATTGGTGAATTATGGTTTTCATGTATGGCATATTCAAGATAAGAACACCTGAGAATGTTTTATTTCCCTTTTTAGAGATAAGGATTCAAGCAAATGGATTTTCACATGGATTTGTCACATGTGTCATCTAGATTAGCAAATTTAACGACAAAATTTGACGGAAACTAATAAAGGGTAATTTGTCACAGGTGTACCTGTTTGGGGCTTTTAATTGTCAAAAAATTAGTTTTGGGTAAATTTGTCATAGGTGTATCAATTTTGGGTTTTTTGTGATTAAAAAATTAATTTGGAGTAATTTTGTCACAAGTGTACTACTTTAGGGGTTTTTCATGATCAAAAAATTAGCTTGGTGTATATTTGTCAAATCTGTACTAATTTAGGATTTGTCATGGTATTAACCCTTTATTTCAAGCTCATTTTCCTTGAGAGGTGTTTGCATTGATGAAGTCTTTTTTTCCTGAGGCTTCTCTAGTTTAGTAGGGCCATGATCAACGCGAGTTGAGTTAGATAGCGGGCCGAAAGTCCCCATCCAAAATTCCCTTCATTTGATATATGTTAATAATTAGGCCCGAGCAAGCCCCAGAGGGCAACATAGGCAGGCTCTGGCTTAAGAAGAAAATTGATTTACCAGGTTAAATGTTTGAACAATATTTTGCATTCGTTTTTTCATCTTTACTTCTGTTTATCTTTTTCTTTATGTTTTGCTAAATTTGTATTTATCTTTTTCCTAACACTACAAGCACTCTTGTGCGTAAGGGCTAATTTCTTTCAAATCAATTAAATCCCTCGGCGAACCACGAATACTTCCTTATTCGTATTGTGGGACATTGGACGTTTAATAGACATGTCAATAATGCAGGAACATGCACATTCAAATTACTTTAATTGGAGGAAGTTACCATTGTAAGTTGGTAGCTTACCATTCTTAAAAACAAAATTTCCATTAGAGGCACACAATGAATTACAAGCTCAATTAACCATATTGCCTGCCAAAAGTTATATAAGGACCACAGTCATTTTCAGTAAAAAAAATCATAAGCATCTAGAAAAAAAAACATACCATATTTGAGTCCTTTGACTTACCAAATTTATCCATTTCCATGTATCCGCTATACTATCAATTAGGTTTCCTCAAAAGTGGATGGGCACGAAGAGTATATAATCAGGCAACGCTCTTTCTTTCAAGATTATAAGCAGCATGAGTTCACTTATTACGTGATCAAACCACCAGAAAACCCTTCGTTGTCGGCTATCCTCCCAAATGACCCTCCCTCAAAGAAATTTCATGTGCAGGCTCTCAGCTTCAGATATTGAAGCTGAGAGCCTGCTTTGCTCTACTTTTCTGTTCTAGATTTCGTTTTTCGTTTTTTTTTGTTTTTTTCTCTCTCGATCTAATCAAGGAGTCTTTTTACGTCTCGTTTGGCATCTTCTTTTGCTAGTTGTTATTGCTTTTCTTCGCTCATCATGGTTAGTAGATTTGCTTGTAGCTGAAAACTTTGTGAGAATGTCATCACCAGTCAAGCCAACAGGATACTCAGGATATGCTTCTATGACTTCTCCGAGATTCGGCGGAAGCTTTTCTCTCCCAATTTAGATCTAGATCTCTAATTATAATCTTCGGCCCAGACTACGCAGCCTTGTCTCTTGGCCGTCCTGGCAATCAAGAATCTAGGAGGGTTGCTGACACCTATTCAGAATGTGAGATGGAGTCGACGACTGTGCTCGTCGGCCTGGGCAACGAGGACTTGTCTCTTGGCCATCCTCACAATCAAGCATCCCAACAGGGTCATACATCGGCTTCTTGTGCTGTTAAATCGGAAGGCAAACAAAGGGCCAAGCTGCGTGAATTATCCGAGCAGAACTCGGACTTGTCGAAGAACCCGAGAGCTGCAGGAAAGCGCGGGGTTGAGCTCCTGCGAGAGTTAGAGAAATGTCCAATCAGAGGCTGGTGGGAGGCACCGGTCGACCAACTCTCCTTGGAGGAGCTAAAACTTCGTAAGAGAAGGTACGAAGAAGTAAGCAAGATTTTGATCCAAGCGATGGGAGACCGAACAGCTGATTCTAATGGCAACATTTCCAACGATCCTAAAAGGAACGATTCCTATGAAATTTCAATGTCTTTGAAATAAGGTGGTTTGATCATGTGTTAAGTGAGCTCATGCTGCTCATAATCTTGAAAAAAAGTGTGTTGTCTGACTATATGTGCTTCTTGTAAATCCACTTTTGAACAATCCCGATATGGATAAGAACATCAACTTTCATACGGCACTCTTGAATGCCATAACTTTTATTTCGCTCACTTAAATGCCACATCGGTGTAAAATGGATATTTGAGTGCCATTTCTGGCAAATCATCTTATGCGGATTTTTTAATTAATTTTTCATTTGACGTGGATTTATTAATTTATTAATTTTTCTTTTTCTTTTTCTTTTTTCAATTTTTTCAAGGCCGGCGATGGTCACCGGCAACCCTCGCCAGTTGCTAAGGCCTTGCCCAAACAGCGAGGGCCACCTCGTCCTCAACCGATATGGCCACGAAGGCCTTGGGCGAGGCCATCGCGATCTCCAGATCTTAGTGGCCGTGGGCGAGGCAGCCCCGCCATATGTGACCATGGTCTCACTAGATCTAGCAAAGGCCTCGCCTACCTGCGGTCGGCGAGGCCGCGATGGCCTTGCCCAGGGGCTTTGCGGCCGAGGGCAAGGTGACCCTTGCTCAATCTGGGCGAGCCTTCGCAACCGGCGAGGATCGTTAGTGACCCTCGCCGACACTAAAAAAAAAGAAAAGAAAAATACAAAATTAAAAAAATATTTAAAAATGGTCCACGTCAACGCCGGCTAAGCCATGTAGAACGACCGGCATCCATGTTAGATTTTCTGGTGAGGCAAATCGCCGATGGCACTCAAGTAATCAATTTTTCAAATTTATGGACGAAAGTTATGACACTTGCGCTGTTTTTATCCCATCCTGATTGGTAATATACGGATATATGGAAATGCATAAATTTGGTTAGTCAAAGAACTCAAATATGGTAGGATTTGTTTCGTAGGTGCTTATCATTTTATTTGCTAGAAATGACTTGGGGTCCTCCTATAACTTTTGGCAGGCAATCTGGTTAATGGAGCTTGTAAAGGAAATTTTGTTTTTAAGGATGGTAAGTTACCAACTCACCATGGTAACTTCCTCCAATTAAAGTAATTTGAATGTGCATGCTCATGAATTATTGACACGTTTATTAAACGTCCGATGTCTCACAAGAAGATTTAGGAAGTATTTGTGCTTCACCGAGGGAATTAATTGAATTGGAACAAATTAGCCCTTACGCACACGAGTGCTTCTTGTAGTTTTACTTAAAAAGATCCACAAAATTATAGCATAAAAGAACGATAAATACAAGTAAAGACGATAAAACGAAAGCAGAATAATTGTTCCAACGAGTAACATCATGTTTATCATGTCCTGTATATTCCCAAGTGGCTCAAAGCACTTCCTTATGGCAAAGAATTCCATATGCTTGTAAAGGACCCGCTGAAGTAGACTTTCTCGTAGACGTGGCAGTCCATCAAAGCTTGGTCCAGCCAACAAGGTCCCAAGCACAAATGGGGCGACCTTGGTAAATCAATTTTCTTCTTAAGTCCCAAGAAAATGAGTTTTAAATAAAGGGGTAATGAGATTGCAAATACTTGGAGTTTTGCCTGTTTTAGAACCGAGTACTTAATTAAACTTCTTTGTTTGCTCAATCGAGTACCTCAATTTTTTTAAAATTGGCTCCATGTGAGATCTCCATTAAACAATTTGTCATGTCATATGATTATGATAATGTGACTCACTTAGTTGGCAAAAGTTAAGTACTATTGGGCGAGCATACGGCGGGAACTTTGGCGTGGTGTGGCATGCCGAGGCGGGGGAGGTAATAGGCCCACCCTGCCCCGTTTTTTAGCTCCTCCGAGCAGAATTGGTCGACCGGTGCCTCCCACCAGCCTTTGATCTGACATTTCTCTAACTTTGCCCAGAGTTCATCCTGGCGTTTTCTTGCAGCTCTCAGTTTCCGAGTTCTGTTCAGATAGTTCAAGCAGCCTCGCCTTTTGTTCGCCTTCCGATTGCCTAACAGCATGAGAAGTGGATGTGCGTGGATCATCGACCCAGTTGGGATTCATTCGACAGCGAGGACGGCCAAGAGACAAGGATTCGTTGCCTAGGTCGAAGAGTGCAATCATCGACTCCAGCGCAAATTCTTAATAGATCTCAGTAGCCCTCCTACGACTTGATTGCTAGGACAGCCAAGAGACAAGGCCGCATAGCCCAGACCAAAGAGTACAATCATCGACTACAGCGTACATTCTAATTAGACCGCAGCAAACCTCCTAGGATCACGAGAGCGACTTTTTGGAGCAACCTTCTTCTGAATCTTATCGTCCAGCGTCGTAATGTATTTGAGATCCTCTCGTATTACTCTAGAACTCGCACACAATTGAGTGGGGATTAGCTGCGATTTATAGGGCCGTGACACCAATAAAAACTACTGACATCTTGTTCTGTGATTGGTGAATTATGGTTTCCATGTATTGCATATTCAAGATAAGAACTCCTAAAAATGTTTTATTTCCCTATTTATAGACAAACATTCAATCTTCTATCTTGTTTGATTATATTGCCTCGCCAATTACGACCGTGCACGAGTTTTAGTCAGGGAGCAAATTAGATTTGGTCCTTGAATTTGTCGATACTTATTTGAGTAATCAAATTGTCTTTTTTCTACTCGATCCATGAAATTATCTATTCT